TAAGTTATGTCTGGTTTGCAGTTTAGCCTGCACAGTGCCCTCTCTCTCGTTGTCAGACCCAACATCAGCCCAGTACAACACAAAGGCTTGTACATGTACAACGCTGAGTTATCACACGAGCGTTCTCTGCTTTGTGTATGGCTGTAATTGAACCAGAACTTGCAAGCGAGACAACATGCGCTCCAACAAGCACAAGCCAAACTCTCTATCTGTTTTCACGCTCCAACCCACAAAAAAAATGGGGGAATGCTGAGAAAAGCAGTGCAGGCTTCTTTCCTTCATTCAATGCATCTGCTCTGAACGTCAGATCAACGAGACCTCCCCCTTCAACAAATATTTTATTATAATACTCTACGCACGATGAAAAGAAATTCGGGAGGTCTGGAAAACCGGGCAGCCATGGAACCAATATGGAACCCGTATTGCAGAGCACGGCACAGCGGTACCGGAGCAGAGGGGAGTACCGGAACGGGACATGGGTCCGGTCTGTACCGGCAGGGCAGGGCTCACAAACAAGGGTTCGGTAACCTACTCTTTTTGACCGTCCGTACGTTGACCGGAGCCGCGTGGAGTCGTCCGGGGCTGTTCCTCACTGTCGCCGGTACAACAAAGGGAGGGCACAAAATGATGAGCACGACTGACCTTTAGTAACCCACAGGTGGAGGGCCGGCCGAACTCCACGCGCCGGTTAACCTGGAACCCTCCTAGTCCTGATCGGCTGTTTGTGGCTACGGCCGAGGGTCGGTCTACTTTGCATTAATTTAATTTAATTGATTTCATTTTACTTTTCTCTGCCCGACCCACGGCCCAGTCATGCTAGGGGCAATTTAGCCGGATTTGGTGGACACTGTCGCTTTATACCCCGGCTTAACTTAGCTAAGCCCCGGCCAAATGTTTCTCACCTTTTCCCTCATTTCGGGAATTATTGGTGTGATTATTGGTCTTCTATTTATGATTAAAGGTTTCTCTGCAGCCAAAATCTGGTGTTGATTTCTCCTCGCCCCTTCGTCCCTTAAATTAGCTCAAAAGGTTGCCTCGATTTGCCACCTACCATTAATGTGCATGTTACTGTTAACTTGGAAGATTTTGAGTCAACTTTTTATAGCACTGCCAAAGGAGGAAAACTGTCTCGTTTTCCATCCACGGACATGGATGCAAATTTCTATAGCGGATCCCTTGACCAAAGGAAAATTCAGGAGAATGATGAAACCTTTTTCACATTGAGAAGATCGCTGAGGCCTCAGTGAGAGTTTGTGGAGGGGAATCTCTACACGATCCACAATTTCTGCCCTCGTGATTTTATTTTTCCTCTTTCATTTTCATGGGCCGCATGAGAGGGGGATTTGCACATGTTTGGTGAGCAACGTCTGCGAATTTCGAGATCGCTGTGAATGGACTTTGGAATTCTCGACCTGAACGTTGGTGCTGTGGAATATATGGAGTACCTCTTTCTATTCTGATGAGGATATTCTTCGATCGGCAGAATCCTCCTCCATCGTGCTGGCTTAATTCGGCAGAAGGGGGATGTACAGCAAAGTTGATGGAAACTGTTTTCTGACGAACGTGATAACAGTTACTTCATGTATAACGTACCCTTCCACTGAGATTTTCTACGACAATTTTTTTCTTTGCATTGAAACTCTTGAGATGTTTTTATTTTCTATAGCTCCGAGCTTTGAAACCCCGATTCACAGTAAAACGAGAGAATTCTGTGAAGCGGAGTTTCCACTTGGGAGCAGCGTTTCGTCGATCTTCGAACGAAGCTTGTAGACACATCCTTCACCCTCTCGTTCAGAGGACCGAGGAACATCATGTAATACGAGACAGTTTCAGCTACTAACTTTTGTAGTGCGGTATGATTTTCAACTCAACGAGCATAATGGCCCACAATCATCGTCATGCCTCCCGGGCCGAATTCAAGTTCCCGTGTGAGGCAGGTGCGGGTCTGTCCGCTGAATTGCATCATAAAATTGTGGGCATAAACGCTACAAGTGACGGGAACTAAATCCAGACACTGACGAGAAAACAGAATCACGCACAAATCTGGTGGATTCTTTCAGAAGTGGAACCGGATACCCTGTCTCGCTGTAGTAGAGTGAAGTCAAGGTCCAAAGAAAGGGAGGACAACCGCTCTTTCATGGTTTACAGTAGAAATGATTTGCACACGCAAGGATCCAGCTGATAGACAAGTTTTGTCGCTGACTTAGCAGCCATTGAATGAGAAGAAGGAAGGGGAAGACGAGGGGAACACGGGCCCTCGTTGTGTTCATAGTCCACTGCTGGCGAAGCAAACGACAGTGTTCATGCTACAAGAGAGAAGGGACGTCGTCACCCATTTTGTCAGAAGGTTGTTTGTGGTGATTGTCATTGCTCCAAAGGGAGGGGTGCTGACCGAAGCTCGTCTCTGTGAGGGGATGCATCAGAAGGGTTCGCGGGAGCTGGAGGTCATAGATTAGGGAAGATGTTGAATCCTCCAGTCAGTCGTTGCGCAAGTAGTACAGGATGATGAGAGACCCATGTGGCCGTCCCTGGAGGAGAGAGGCCTGATCATTATGACCGGAAGGAAGTGGGAATGAAAACGATGCTACACGTACTGGCTGGCAGCTGCAGCGGCTACTTCAACTTCACGAGGCAAGATGTGCATTTCCACAATGATAGATCGAGAGAGCATCATGAACTGCATACATGCGCACAAGTCTCTTGACCCTACCAGCAGGGTTCGACCGGAATTATTCGCAGAATTTGGTTGATGGACGCATTAGCTCCGTCCATCCGAGCAAACGTTTGGCACCTAGAGCCAGCACAGAATGTGAAGGTTCACTCAAAAGAGTAAATTTCTCGGTGAAATATGATTGCCACGGGTGAACCTCTCGAAGACCACCACCGGCCATGCAGTTTGGGAACCCGAGACACAACAAAACCTCGTGGAAATCATCCTCAGATCATTTCCGAAGCTGCCAAATTCACGTCGAGGAACGCACCCGACGAGCATTTAATTTTCTGGATAGGCTGTTACCCTGGGGCACGGTACATTACCCTAGATGCCTCGACAGGGTTGAGAGTTGAACACAAATTTGACTTCGCGGACGAATCCGGACGAATTCTAGAATAATACTAGAACTTCAATGAAATGAGATTCTGAAATACTCGAGACAATAAAGAATGCTGCGCGAAAGATCTTTCCATCCACAATCTCGACGAATCCAGAAATGGGAAGGAGCGCAACACAAGGGCTGGCTGGCTGGCTGGCTTCTTGGTGAGATAGGTGAACAGGCTCAGGCACATGAGGGCCATCGTAGAGTACAGTCCGGTGAGGTGCTTGAAATGTGGATTGCCATACATGGTCTACTTAGATGGACCAGAGAAAGAGAGAGAGAGAGGAACTAGCTCTTTCCAGCTGAGAGAGTGGATGTGGTGAAGAAAGCAACGAATATGCCTCGCTTCCTTCCCCCTCGGCTTTCCATTGCCAAGTCAAAATGAATCCCACAGTGCGCTCTCTTTCTCTTTCTCTCTCTGTACAAGGCCAGAAGAGACGTGCCTGGCTATGCACGGCCGGGACAAGCTCATTCCGAGGAGTGACCAACCGCGTTCCAGGAAGTAAAGCACTCGGGGTGATGCACAGCTTCCATGGAGTAGGGGCCAAGTGGTGGCAGACAGGCTGAGATCCACTCTTGTACAGTGGCAGGAGGAGGAGGAGGGGGGGGGAGGAGTAGAGTCCATCGAGCGAGCTTACGTAAGGGGAATTCTGGATGATGGGAAGATAGAAAAGAGAGCAGTAGAGTGTTATCTCGGGCGGAAACAAGTCAATGGTGTGGCGTGGTGGCTGTCCTCTTCTAATTGGACTGGACTGGAAAGGAAGGGTCGGGTTGGCAAATCAAAGTGGATCTGTCTATCTGGACTGTTTCACTTCTGTCGTGATTTGATGGGGCGAATGGAGCGAACAAAGAGAACGATGGCCATGGTTATCGTCAGCGACATCGTTCGGTGAGTTCTTCAATGCAGACGTTTTGTTGTTGGTGAGACATGCATCCAGGTTCACGTCCACTATGATTGAACCCAGTCTCCACGAGTTATGACCACAACTGCGGTACAACCTTCGAGTCAGTCCAGTTCAAGGCACCCCGTCTTCATGAACGCATTGAAGTCCAGTGCGAGACGGTCAGTTCTGGTGCACACCCTCCCACACCAGATGTGGCAATCCTCACTTAATCCCCTCGCCAACTCATGTTCGATGTAACGGGTGGTGAAACCATGACGGTAAGGAAGAGAAGCAACTCGGTTTGTCCCTTGTGAAGACACCGTACTCGTCTGACGAGTTCGTTGGAGATGTGACCGAAAGTCCGACGCTACGCACGCATAATTAAATTCTCGATCTGCATCATGAAACGCCTATGCTTGACCACAGCTCCGAAGCGTGTCATAAAATGAAAAGAGAACCGTCTACCTTCTTCTAGAGAACCATACGCGTAGCTGCAGCGTGTATCTATCGTTCTTACACATGGTTTTCTCCACTTATATTGGATTCGTCGTTTCAAAAGCTTGGGTCTCTTCGGTAGAACTTGATGTTGTCGAGGAATCCTTCCGAATACCAATTGTCAATAAGAGCCAGGTGTGTCCGCACTACTTGGACGTAATCACGATGCCTGTGAAAATGCAACAAAGAACCTTGTGCAATAGGCCTGTAGACAAGGGGGTTCGCCCTTCAGAGCTGATTCATGTGATTTCTTCTCCTGCTCTTTCGGGTGTTGTGTGCAAAATTGAAATATTCGCCTCTTTTATAAAGGTTCATGGGGTCCGGTTATAAGTTTAAAAATCAGTATAAAAAATAATGAGGAATCCGCAGAAGAAGAGACAAATGTAATAATGTTCTCACGCTTCTTGACACCATACTCCATCATGTTCATCATTCCTAAACAAGACAAACTCAAAGGGGTCACATCACCAAAGCTAGTGAGCTGACTTTCAGGTATGCCAAACGCTAACGATATTCTGATTGCAGCTCAATAGGAACTTCAATTTCCATATTTCATAAAACCCTTGTATCCCTGGTAGCTTCATTGACCTACAATTAGTCTCGGCGTCTACCCTGCCTTGTCCCACATGAATCATGTACCCTTGGGTCTTGGGAGAGGGATAGAATTCCACCAACAAAAACGGAATGTGCACAACACTACCGGATAAAGATAAACGAAAGGTATATGAAGTCACAAAGATCTACGCTGACCGCCACTTTAAACCATATCGCTCCTGCAAAGACAAAAAATATGTGTATTTTGTATTTTCGGAAACTTACAGGAACTTTGCTTTACCTAACTACGCACTCTGCCAGCTAAGGGGGACAAGAGCATTCTCCAAAAGATATACAAGGTCTTTGATATGTTCATATACACCTCGTGTGTACTTCCGACCTAGCCGTAGAATTGCGAGCTAAAACTATGAAGAAGAAAGAATTTGCTACTAATACATTATGATTTCGGTGTATGTGCTGTTGGTACCATACCTAAGAGCGTTCTGGCAACTGTTCTGGCAAGGCTCTCAGTGACACTCACTAATTAAACTCAGTGTCTTCACATATGAGATAGCAATTACCAGATCCAGCCAACATCCAAACGGGATATCGACCAGGTGTGTTCATAACCAAACAAAAGCTGAAGAAAAGGTGAACTAGTGTGAAGAGTTGGCAGCCGATGGTATTTTCCTGTTCCAAGACAAATACGAAGGATCTCCCAGAGGCCTGCAGGATGAGGGCCCATCAAATTAAAAAAGTTTACAGCAACTACGAAAACGAGAAAACCCTTCATATTCATTAGGTATACAGGCAAGGCTAGATCATGACCTAAATGCTCAATAATAACCCCCCATCATTACTAAATGATCCAACCACATTCGTTTCAACATAATAAGGATGGAGATTAACAGGATCAACAATTTACCTGGGGTTTCTGAAGTGAACCAAGAAAAAGACGAATGCCAAAAACATGCAAAGAATGCCGACGGTGAGGTAGGCGATTCCCAGAAAGTTGTTCTTCCCACCGAGCCAGCTAGTTGTGGAGAGGACCAGTTTTTTACCCCCTCCGAAGGTGTAAGTGTTATAGTTGTTCTCAATCTGTATGTTAAGAGACTGGTCCTTTTTTAGGTCCGTCTCAATCTTGCCATACAACTTTCTGAAGGTAGGTAATGCAGCTGTGCGCATCCAGACGATAAGGTCCTCGTCTTCATCGAGCTGCGAATTCACATAGACACTCGAAACATGTAAATCAAGAGCCTTCAATCCATTTTCTTCTCCAAATAATATACGCTGATACAAGGAGTGCATTGAGCTGTGGTGCTTTCGAGCAAGATACTATAAGTGCACAAATCTCAGCTATGTGATGCCATTTCGATACGACCAAAAAATTTACAAAGGGTACTACGAGTTTCCCGAGACATATTTGGCAGTTAGAGCACAGATCAGTAGATGCACATCTTCCAGTGCAGCCCATGAGAAGCGCGTTGCACTTCAAGGACAGAAGCTTACCGGAACGTTTTCTGGCAGGGCTTTCCCTCCAATTATTTCAATTCCAAGTGCCGAGGAGTTCATATTGTTCACGAAGTTCTGCGGTGTGATCTTACCGAACTTGTCTTCACGGTCACTTTTCCATGCGATTCCCTTTTTGTTCACATTCAGGCTATTGCCAGTATTGTCCGTAAACCCATAGGTATCATTGAAGAGACTCCATGCGATAAGACCGCACGGGGCAATAGGTAGACCATTTATTGTTGCTTCAGGCTTGCAACCGGTCGTCTCATTTGCTGCTCCATTGTCTCCACGAAGCTGCTTGTCATTTCTACTTTTCACATACCTGCATCAATACAGCCTTCAAAGTAAGGCAGCCAGACGGATTGGGTACTCACAGTCTACCGGCTGAATCCACAAGATGTTACGAATTCTTCTGCCCAAAACAAATGAGGACCTTAAGAATGAGTAGATAGCGATGAACTTGGCGGGACCGCTGGCCTCTATGCGAAACAATCTACTACAGCAACTAAGATCTGACTTCGGGAGATTAACAGAACCTGCGATGATTCTGGTAGAAATTGTCAAGCTGATAGTAGACATAAATGGGAGCATCCATATCTTTTATCACCTGTGCCATCCAAGACGGGCCAATAAGTGATCTTGAGACAGCAAGCGCTCAATTCCACAACCAAAAACTTTAAATGCTTGGCAAGAAGAGCGTAGTAGGTGGATGTGCGCTTACTGCAAGGGTTGCTTGGCAAGTTTTATTGGTTGTAGGGTTCTGAATGTGAGTAATTCTTTGATCTCTTGACAGATTTGGCAAACAAGAATTTTCGTAGTCGTGTACAATTTCGACAACCTGTACGGAGGGTCAAAACAGGTTTATAAGAAGACCGGAATGACGCATCTATGTCGTTGACGGGAAGCTGTAAAAATCTCCACATACTTCACTGTACGACAGACATGATGGCCTCGTAATCAGCAAGAAAAACATTTTCCTGCCGATATTGATAAGCTCTCATTGTAATTCCTCAATTCGTGATCATCAAATCATAACAAATACGCCATTGACAACAAGATCTACCATGAAGATACGACTGATCATACTAAGAAGAACCGGGAGATGGGAGACGACGAAATTATTACCCCATTCGAAGCTAGAAGAGTCACCGCACCTATCGGGATAAAAATGATTCCAACTACCACGAAGGTGGCAATAACCTGCAAGAAACACAAGTTGTATCACAGTTGAGAAACTGGGAATTTTCTGCACAGATCCACAAGCTCAACTGCACTGATAAAAGAGAGCACACCCCATATGATCAATGTGTGCATAAAGTCCCACGAAGCACCTGCTGATGGGCGAATCTCAATACCGATTCCTGGTGAGAAATAATCCTCAGTCATGAGAAAAAGACTTGTAGGAACTCACCCATCCTGGCGTCAATAACGGCTTGCAAGCTGGTAACTCCTGCTGAGTAAATTTGGAGTCTGAAAGATATAAATATTCAAGCATATAAGTAAACTCTCGTCAGTAAATTGTAACAGCTGTAGACAGATCCTCGTGCGTGAGTCCAACAGAGAAATTAATCAAATTCAAATTGACAATATGTATGGATCCCAACGGTGTACATCCAAAATACGCGTTACCACATAGATCCAGTGAATATAACCCCTGAGTGTGAAAGGTCTACGGATGTGGAATTTTACGATCAAACCTACAGTCAAAACTCACACTTAGGCTTCTTGGATTCCTTCTTCGCAGGAGGAATTGCAACTCCAGAATCCGATGTGCTCGCCCCATTGGCACTCATGACTCCCCAATCTCCTTCGCTCCGCCAGCTGCTGCTAGTCCCCCTATCACCCTGCTTCAAAACACCCTAAATCTTCCTCCAGAGCCTAAATTCTAAATCTAACTCCTCATAATCTCATCTAACACTCCCAACCCTAAGTTTCGCTCCGTCTCGTCCCGCAGGTAGAATTCGCTTGACTGTCCAACCCTGCACCCGGTCTGAACCTGCGCCAACTTTCTTGCACCTCCTCGAAATGTCAATCCTCTAGTGCTCCCCTCGCGCGAAGGATCCAATCCCTGCGTTCAGTTGCTCGTCTACAAACAGCGGATCAAAACTCCTTCCTCGCGCCAGCGAGAGAACGCAAAAGAGCAGCCCACGAGCCCGCCAGCCCGACCGATCGATCAAGAACCTGAGAAGCGGTGCTGCAGGAAGCAATCTTCAACAAACCGGATCAGTCGATCGTCGATCCTTCAAACGCAAGCACGCGCTCCACGAAGCCAGCCTGCAATTCGTAGTCGGTCCCTGCCTGCGCTCCGACTTTCCTCCCGTGCACCCTCCAGTCCCTCCCTCCCGTCGCTCTCTTCCCTTCCGGACCCCGGTCGCACGCTGGCCATGACCCGGCCCCGGTCCGCGCATGTCCACTGACGCTACTCCCGCTCCGGCTGCGGGCCCCCAGAAGCTCATGGAAGGACCCTGCCCAAGACTTCAGCGTCGGACTCGCGGCTCCGCTCCGAACCTTCCCGTCTCCCTTCCATGATTCCACCTGCTGGCGCCCGTCGCCAACTTTTCCATCGCGACTGCGGCGAATATTTGCTCAACTACGATCGTGGTGCTTCGCGATTTAGGCCCTCTACATTCATATTAAACATTTAATATGAGTTTACTGCTGTTTAATATACAGCAGGAATAGCACCTGGATCATATACAAAAACGCGATGTGATTAATTTTTTTCACAAGAAGAGTATATCTATATCTAGTCATACTGCCAACATTTCCATTGTTCTTGTTGAGTAAGCAAGTTGGATCTCAGGAACCAAGTTCCGGTCATCTGTCATACATGTGATAGTGTTCAAGAATTTGTCGCAAATCCATTCTATGTCTTCAAGACATGAAGAGAGTTTAACTCTTTGTAATTTGCTTGAATTTAGCTATGTTCGTGAAAGACAAAGAAAATGTGAGCAAGAATTTCCAATACTACAGGGTGAGGTTATCATTTTTTCCAATTAATACGTAATCTAATTTGGGAAATGTGTTTCCGTTGATGTAAACAAAGCATAATCTAGTTCTATTCACATGAGGGTTATTAGTTGATGCAACATCAAATGCTCAAATGTTTGTATATTGTGTATGTACGTGTTGTGCATATTTTTCATTACGTACTTTCAAAACTTAGACCTGTTGTCGATTTTTTTTCCTTATACGACTTGATAAGGTATCTTCATCTCTTTTGCTCTACATTTTACCCTCTGTTAAATATGAGTGTCATGATTGCAAAGTTTATGTTTTAGGTTTAAGAGGCATGATTAGTTTCTCTTTTGAATGTGCTTTTCATGAGATATCACAGCGACATCTTCTCGCCAATTTAATTGAGATATTATTACTAGAGATCAATAACATCATAAACTTCTTATTCATCTTCATGCAATATCTCATTCGTTGAAAGTAATTTGGGTATCTGTAACTGATTGTTGATTACAAACAAGATTTACTCATAACCATCTTTTCAAGAATCATGATATTCACATCCTATGTTGTTTATTCAATTATCATATTAATCTTGTTGAGTATGAAAAATCTAGTTTCATTTTGAAGTAGTGAGTGAATACAATTGCAAATCTATAGAAATTTTACCCTCTCATAGGTATGATTCACTTTACTTTGCTGTGAACATAGCTCTTCACAAGGTGATGACAAATGGTAAATAAAAACATCTTGTAGATGTGTTGCTCTACAATTGTAGATTTGATTGATGCAAAATTGTTTCAAGTATCTGTTTCTGGATATTATCTTACTTAATTTATTAACATCATCCAATCTACAAACATGTCAATTTGTAAAGATTTCGCTTTGATTGTATCAATACAACAATAAAAATTTAAGTGAGTGAAAAAATTACAATTGTTACAAGTAACTCGCAACATTTCACTTCATTAAAATTTTTTTGAAAGTCCAATTAAAAAGCTAGCAAATGTAACTTTTAGAGCACAATATAGTAGATAAATCTTCATATAATCTGATTGAAATGCATTTTAAAGCGTATTATATAATCTGACTTTTTTATGCTACAAACTAAAAATTTATAATATAGTAACTAAAAAGTGTAATCATTATATAATAAAATCGCATCATACAAAAATATTAAGTCACAACTTTTGAGTTAAATTTATATCATGATTCACTTTTTTTTATTCAATTAATATTCATTGATTCAAATTGATTAAGTGAAATCACAAATTTCATGTCTATTTATCTTCTCAAAGGTTGTTCAAACTTGAATTGATATCTCAAATGTCATCAAACATAAACATTAAATTGAATTTGAAATCTTCTTGTGAAGAAAAGTTTTTGCACTTCATCATTGATTTTGATATTGTTTAAAAAACATAAAAAATAATTAAAAAGAAATTTAATAATTTTTTTTCACATTATTATTAACCTTTTCAAATTTTCATCTATTTAATATTTACAGAAACTAATATATTTTTCAAAAAATCTTTTTAAAATGTACATGATTAGATTCTTTTCAATTGAAATTTAAAAAAATTTAAAAATTATTTTTTCGTACAAATAAAAAATTTTCACTTGCATCAACTTTGGCAAGATAGTTTTTTTTAATAACTAACTATTAAAGCATAGCACTTGATTTTTGAATTTTAATTTTTTCATAGAATTTAATAAAAAAATAAGAAATATTTTTTTTAATCTATTTGATTTAAATATTTATATAATTTTTTGATAAAAAATAATGCATAGTAAAAATATTTTCATGTTTATTTCAAAAGTCATAAAGAATCAATTTTAAGATTTTATTTTTTTAATAAAAAATTTAATTTATTTTATTATATATCCATTCACAAGGCATTAAAAATGTATTATTCATGCCTTAAATTATCAATATTCAATTTAAAATTATATTAATTTATCTTTTAAACAAGACATGAAGGTTTCAACTTTTGTATAATGTAAAGAGTGTTTAGATTTTTTTCTACTAAACTTGGTACTTCAAACTAATGTATACTTTAATAATTTTTTATTATATTATGATTAATAATTAAAATTTAATTTAAACTTTTCAAAATTTAAACTTTAATAAAATATAATGCATTTAGAATTGATAAAATTTCTTCATCTATTCAATTCATTATTTCATAATTTAATTTGATGTGGAGTAAGTTTTTTATTTATTGTTGTTTGGAAGTAAATGAATAATTAGAAAGAAATTTGAAAGAAAAAGTAGATTGCAAAACCATAATTCTTACATCTATAACTGATTTGGTCTAAGAAATTTTCAGATTTCATTTGACACTATATTTAGAAAGAAAGCTGTATCATTGTATCATTGATATTTCCTGTCATACATAGCACAATTAATTGTACTCATGAGCTTAAAGTAAAATACATCTAGTGTAAAGATGTGCATGATGTTGTTACTGATTTTTTTGGAGTATATTTTATTAAATTAGGCTGTATTTAAGTGTATAATATTCAGTAGTGCAATAAGCATTCAAAAATGGGGAGAACAATATTTTCTTGAAAAGAGTAATCTAAAAATTTCTTTTGAAATTTGCTACATGAAAGTGAGGAGAAATTTTTTTTCATTGAGCGATGTAGCTCGATTTTTGCATCAGACTTCTTAGCATTTGAAAGTAGAGACTGAAGAAGTCTGTAATTTGTCTGACATTAAAACAATGTTTGTCCTTGTCATTCATAAAATGGGAGAAGTTTTGTGCAATTCCCGTGAACTTTGTAAATTTTTGCCTGAGATGTGTTTCAAAAAATGTGATGTGATTAGAGTGATCACGATTATGTCTGCAATCTTTACTACGTTATGAGTAAAGTTTTGAGTCAAAACTAAATACACTTCAGAGTTAACTTCATTCAGATATTGAAGATTCACAAGAGAGGTATCTGTTTTCTAAATTACTGTAGAGAATTTCCAGTTCCAAACCCCTAGTTGAAGTCGAAAGCTTAGAGAATTTTGAGTAAAGTAGCAAATTTCCACCCATCAGAAATAAGGATGTATAGAGAAAAAAATTAAGTTAAAATTTTATAAGATACGAACGCTAAAGTAAAGTAACGTACGAAGTGCACGTTGGTTTACTTCGAAATAGGGATTATAATTTTGATAATTTTCCTAATTGACATTTAAACAACAGTCAGGTCAAAATAACACAGGCAGACTGTGCTAAGTTGCAAGGAACTAATTCCGTCTTTGATGGATTCCCCGTGGTCCTCCTCGTAACCCTCTGGATTGACGAAGACGAACATGTTGAGTAACCATTCAACTTACCGGTCAGAAGACAAAGTACACTCTTTACTGGAACAGGCTCCACTCCCTTGACCGGCGGTTGTGAGTACGTGTGGTACATACGAAGGTAGAGCCCGAGCAGGCTGAGGACGTGAGGTGGGACAGCGAAGGTTCGCTCGACTTCGCTGTGCAGGAATCTGGACCGGACCGGCTGAGATCCGGTGGGCCACCGACAGAAGCTCTGGAAGCCCTGGTCCTCGGGCCTCACGACAGCGCGACTTCCCCGCGAAAGCGGAAGCGGCTGACCGACGACTGGCTCCGAGTGTTGACCCTTTCTGGGGGGACCTTCTCCTTCCGGTTCCTGATGGGCTCAATTTCCAGGTCCCCGGTAAGAGGACAAGGTTTGCCGGTGCCGGTTTTCTTCTCGGGCATTGGCGGAAGTGGCCGGTGGGAACGAAGGAAGGAATCCCGTTGCGATGAAGGAAGGCCGGCGGAGATCCGGCACCCTCCCGTTGCAGACTCTTCGATGCCTCCACTTGTCAGTGCGACTGATTCCGGGTCTGCCTTCGTGAATGCACTCGATTCGGGGTTGTGGTCTAGAAGAGGCAACGGTAGCTGTCATGTCGGCTCGGCGAATGAGGTTGGAACAGTTTTCGAGACTGTGCACAACGAGCAGCATCAAAGCAGATGCAGATGCAGATGCTGATGAAGCCTGGGAATTGCTAATGAGATCGACCATTCGTTAAATTACGAGTTCCCGGTGACATGTAAGCGACGATCCGACAGATGCCATGCACTTCTCGCCCTGATGCCTCCAATCAAACCGCGACGGTGATCATACCAGTGCCATCTGCTCACTCAACAGGCTGCAGATGATCTGAAAGCCGAACTGGTCAGACAGTCGAAGGAAAAGGTCCGTGGCCGAGAAATCGGAGAAGGAAATACAAGATGAGAATCCGTTCTGGATCCAACTGAGGATGGGAGGACGGCAGAATTTCATGAGCGCGGAGGCTGTCGCGCGTTCCAAGAGTTCTTCGTCGTGCTTGCAAAAACACCGACCGACCGAGTGAGTGAGCAGGAGGTTCTTACTTCTTTCGATCTGTCTGTCGCTCACTCCGTGCCGTGCACTTCAACTCGACGACCGATTCCTACGAATAGAGGTTCCCTGATTCGATCGTTGCAAGTTTAGCCCAATCTTTCCGAAGATCTATTTCATCTCTGACGTTTAATTGCGTTCGTCGGGTGTGTCGATGAACTTATATCGTCGGCTGTGTCTACTTATATCCCCCTCTTCGTGAAGGCATTTATTCTCGTTACATATGTCTCGACAGTCGCGCTTGTCTTGCGATTAACGAGGTGCTATCATAATGTACAGGCGTATATCTTGGCTGATTATTCTTCTGAACATGTTCGTGTTGCACGGATGTGAAACCTTGCGAGTGTTGATAATGGGGAACTAGCGTACCAAAACGGTGAAGTAGATTTTCACGGATTCAGATCTCATGGACTCACATCGTCAGTGCAATCCAATACCTGCATTGTTTGATCCGTATTAAAAAACTGCTTCGACATTACAACATGTTTTGTTGTGAAGTGAAATGCACATGGAACTTGAAGAAGGTCGTGTTATTCTCATCTCATAAGAACTTTAGCTTCAAAATAAGAAATTTTTATAATCACTAGAACTTCCACAATGATGGTTGCGGTCGATCTGGATCACCTCTGGATAGAATTTCTCCCAAAGGATGTGGTGTTGTAAACTCTCTACAATTGCTAACTGTCACTCTACTCTCCACTCCAATGGAATACTCGCAGTAATTTTCAGGTCAGAAGCTTCTAACTAGCATCGACCAGACTCGGAAGTTTATACATCCCTGAACTCCATATCCCATTCTCAACAACTCAACATTCATGGATGTGTACTCGAGGGCTGAAGTTTTGACTTGATTGCAATATATATGGTTGATTACGAAAACAAACGGTGGTTGATTACTCGTTAGTCAAATAGACAATCCTAAGAAAACCCTCTAATGTAATCCCAAACCAAATTTCTATATGTAATCACTGATTGCAATTCGTTTCTGAGATTAAGTCAGAACAAATTCGGTGTATAATTTCTGGTTATTTGCCGATACCAGAGTCTGCCATAAGGTGAATCCAGGAGGTTGAGAGAAACTCAGAAAATTCTCAAGCCGTGCAAGAAGTAGTGTGGAGTGTGAGGAATGGGAGCCAGCAGAATACACTGCTCGAGCTGGCAATCACCCGAGAGACGAAGGACGATGTAAATCTTTTGTTATACCGCAAGATGTACAAGTGAGGGCAGTCGGAGAAGTATAAGAAGAAGATCAGGGTTAAGCAACGAGGAATCGAGGTTTGAGTTCCTGACCGATTTTGACAAATGCTTGCCGGAGGCCATGAGAGAGAAGAACGAGGAGGAGGGAGTAGAATTGACTTGTTCGTGGAAAATTCATTCAGGAGTGCATTGTTTTCCAGCATGTCGTTAGCAACGGAGGCCAATCAATGCGTCTTGCTCGCCACCCTTTCTCTGAAGCAGAAGCATCAAGCCCCTAGAAGTTGAAGAAACAATTCATCGATCGAATCGATCAACTTGAACGAGGGAATGAGACCATGGCTGTCTGACGAAGAACCTTTACATTTTGAATCGAGAGACGACAGGAAGGAGACAGAATCAAATCGTGCCCGGGTTCTCTCATCGTTTCGAACTCAAATGATTGCCTTTATGCTGAAAACTCAAGCGACAAGGGAATGCACCGTCCGTGTCCAAGGCTGTTATAACAATCAGGTCTCATGAACGAACATTCACTCTCTCTCGTGGATGGTTAAGGAGGGAGGACCTATGTGCCCCTCCTCTGCTCGAGAGGGAATCGAGGCAGGGGCTCGATCCTGAAACTTCAACAAGTTCACACCAAAAGTCCTACCATTCAACATTTTTGCAAACATTTACAAGACCTCGTTGCGCAACAGCGCTGGAGAGCAAGCATTAGATGCACCCATGACCACATGTGATGGTGTCATCATGGGCACCACTTCAAGGAGCGACAGATCTCACTCGCACACTCGCTCAACGAAATCCGAGAGATTTTGATTCGTGACTTGGTTTCTCGAGTCCGATTTCGATTAAACTTCCCTGACATCTCATTGAAATTAAAATTCGTATACATGCTGCGATTTACAGGCTTTCTAGCCATGGAGCTACTTTCTTCTGAAACAAACCCTCCTAAGCTGTTAAGATTAGTCCATTTGCGCAGGCAGGCGAAAACTTCTGGAGCTGCAGATTCTTAGATCTTTCGGCTGCCAGTCTCTACCATAGTCTCGAATCTAGTCTTGGCTTATGATACAGTAGGTGAATAGTCCGAGGTATGACACCGGGTCTCGTTCGTTTATGGAGAAAGCTAGCGCTCGATCTTCAGGAGTAGATAGATCCTCACTCGCCTCACAGAGGCAGCAGCAAAAGGTGTCGTGCTGTTGGAGCTCGTTCCCACATCACTTCTTAACGAGATCGAGCACGAAATTCATCAGCATTGATCGGTATACTGGGCACGACCGGAGAAGATGGCTGTCAGAAATGATGGATGAAGTGCACGAGAGCAGAACGCGAGGTTCTAGCAAGAGGATGCGGTGACATGTTCTGTTACTTGTACATTCGTTTCACCTTCAACGGATTTCGCTTCTCGGGGCTGGCAGAGTGCGGCGGCGGGTGAGAGAGCTGCAGTCTCTCGTGCCTCCAGGTTCGAATCAGTACCTGATGACGGAGGAGGAGGAGGAATGGGATGGCCATGGATCATCGACGGGGTCACAGCGGACGATTCAGATATACTCGTAGACGACATGTGGTCATCAGAAGGTGAAACTGCGAATTCCCCCAATGATAGTGTCAGTGCGTTGATTTCTGAAGGGAAGGGTGAGGATCTGGGAGCAGAAGTTGAATCTTCTGGGGCAGCAGCAGCAGCAGCGACAACCGTGGGAGATGGTGAGGGAAGAGCAAGAGGAGTATGAGGAGGAGGAGGGGAGGCGAGGGTGGGAGTCGGAGGTAGATCGCACGGATCGGACATGGGGACCGGGAGGTGCAGGGAGAGAGCTGAGATCTCCAGACTAGCCGAGCTGTGTTCTTTGCTGAGGGAGGGAGGTGAGGGGACCTGCTGCTGATGAGCGTCCGCAGTCCAAGCGAAGGAGGAAGGAGGAAGAGGGGAGTTGGAGGCATTAGATGGTCGACGTGGTGTAGACGGCATGGTGTGAGGAACGATTCTTGTAGGCAGGCGGATAGCAGAGTCGATGTTGTCCGCGAGACCTCGATGACGACCCATAAACATCACCGCAATGATCGTCAACCGACCGACGGTGCTCCATGCTCCGGAGAAGCTGTATGGAATTGCGTTGCATGCACTGTCCTGCTCCAGCCTCAGTCCGCAGTCATAGCCCATGGACAGGCCAATGTTGCCGAAAGCACTGCAACGAGCCATTCGACCACACAATGAATGAATGAATGTCCATTCTCACCCCAAATGCTGCACCCCTCAAAACACTCCATCCACAAATCGCTACTATCACTCCCAACATGTTCGTACCTGGTCACTTCGAAGACGATGTTGAAGATGGAGTAGTTCAGGGGGTCAATTTTGATGTTCTTGCTTTCCGACAGGCAGAGGATGAACATAGCGATGAATAAGTAGGTGGTGTCTCGGGCCAGAAGTCGTCTGGACTGGTTCACCACGACGGTCTCGTCGTCCGATTTGCAGGGGCCGGGCACCTTGTCCTTGTAAATGCCTATATACGATTCGTCGTAATTGCTGTCGCTATCTCCTTCCTGTGTCGTTTGCCTCGACAAGAAAACTGGGTACACTGATATGTACCTGCATCGTCGGCAAGTGCCACAATATCATCAGTTTTGGCACCTTCGTCCAGATTCTGATACCGTCTGTCACAGATGCCAGATGCATCTGATACAAGGGAGATTCCCAGGCCAGCCAGACATTGAACATGATGTGATGCAATGCAATGGAGCCCTGGGGTCTTGCAGAAATCGAGAAGGGCTTACATGAAAGCAACGATGATGAAGAGGAGGGCCGGAGCGAGCTGAGAGAGGTTCACAGCCAGCCCTCCAGCATTCCGAGTGCTGACCCCCTGGTAGAATGCTGCTGCCAGTTTCTCCATAGTCGTGAGGCCACCGAGGGCATTTCCCCACTCGAGGAGGCTCATGAAGAAGAGCTGGAAGCCCGTCAGGAGGAAGTACACGCCCACCAACCACAAGGTTTGGTACCTGGGAAACAAGTAAGTGTAGCAGCGTCTGGGATGTTTGAGGAGGTAATCGTAAACACTCTTTTCTTTGTCAGGAGCTCGTTTGTAGCACACCCAGACCAGAAATCTCATTAGCGGGCCGTACAGAGTGTTGCCCACGGAGGCCAGGACAGCGTACAGCAACAAAAAGGCACTGGACCGGACGAAGGGGAGCATGTTGTCGTTGGTCATGCAGTAGCCCGTGTTGGAAAATGCAGAAAAGCTTGTGAACATGGCGTAGAAGTAAGGGTTGATGCCCCTCTTCTCCAGGAGCTTCTTCTCATGGCCGCCGACGCTGACGAAGTAAATCACCCCCAGCACGAAACCGACGGTGGAAGCTGCAAACAAAAATCTCACAATGACCCTGCTCAAGGCGACCAGAGCTCGATACTCCAACGTCCTCAATGCCTGCTGAGCGTCCACAAACACTCTCTCTTTCCTCTCTAGCTCCTCTGCATAGTCCAGGAGAGAACTGAGGTAGAATTCTGCGTCAGAATTCGTCATCATCCTGCTGCTGTTGACAATCTGAGTCTTGGCTGGTTGCTTATCATCTGGCTCGTGGAACGATTCGAGCTTCCCCACTTTATCTTCATTGATTTTCATCTCATTCTCTCGATGGTTCGTCATCTCCAGCTCGTGCTGCTCAAGTTTGTGCAGCTGAGAGCGCTCGAGGGCATACTGCTTGATGCACAGATGGAAATAGTATCTCCTCACAAAGAGAGGCAGGAGAGAAGTCGTGATTGGGTTGGCCAACATCATCAGAAACACGAGTATGATGTAGTGAGTGTAAGTGAGGCTGGCTGATTCTACAGTCTGGAGACCTGTGCTTGCCACCACAGAAACTGAGGTATAGAGGGCACTGATCAGGGGCATGCGCTTGGAGTTGTTCAAGGGGATGAGCCAAAGTATGAATGTCCCCAAACAGGATAAGAAGAGGATATATGCCATATGAAGGCGGTAGAAGGTGACATATTCCTCGGCCAATTGGCACCTCTGCACTCTGAACACCATTGTTCCGACCGTGTTCACCCTCTTCCTCCTTCCTTCTAAGTTCTCTCGGATCCTCCACATTTTCAGCTTTTTCTTAAAGCAGTTACAGTTCCTTTAGAAGCGTTCTGCTGGATGAGATTCGATTTTAGCTTTTGACCGAAAGGTGTGAGTTTAACTTCGATAATATACTACAAAGCCTCGGTTTATGGTAGCAGCCTATGTGACATTCTCGAAAGCTCAAATTCCCCCCGAAAGCTTCTGCTTCAAGCCAACCACAATTTCAGAAATGTTATCAGCGAGAGAAGTTTGAAGACTTGATGATCATATCAGCTCACATAAGCATATGAAGTGAGCTCCTTGAACTAAGGCACGCAGATGCAGAAGATGTTTGTTGTTTGCAGCTCAATCACCAAAAATCCAAGGACTCCGAGCAGAGCTCATATTTGTCCTTGTTCATATCAGTAGATCACCTAAAGTGGCATGTTACATTCTTTCCCAGCATGAAGGAGTTCAGATTAGGCATTTCACTAGCACGGGCCTAACGATTGGAAGTCTGTCCGTAGATGTAGAGACCCAATCAGATCATAATATGACCTGATTTGCATGTTAGGAGATGTTGAAAGTGCGGTACGTACGAAAGATAAGCAGAATTACACAGCCAGCAGCATAGAAGATACACTTCCATGAGAGATACCTCCGGGCTCCCTTTTCATGATTATGTTAGCTTTGCATCTCTTGGCCTTACATTGTCGAGCATCGCCAAAGAACCTGTAGAAACATATAAATATATCCACAGGACATGCAGCGGTGTGGCAGCGTCAGGTCATGCAATCAGACAACGAAAAAGGGGAAATACATCTATTTTAGAATATGCTTTCTTAAGCAAATAGAATGGTCCACATGGGACCATGGAGCACCTTCTCGACTGCACGAAATTCTAGACGAACTCTTGAGAACACCTACACTATCTGGCCGTACGTGATTGCATCGACTCATGATTGGCAACATCCGGAGAAGAAGACCTCTTCATGGCTTTATCTCACGAATCATCGTCTTTTGAATTAAGATATGAGGCTGAGCATTTTGTACCGTTTCAAGTGTGTAAGCGAACGATATAATCCACAAAAGGTAAATAGCCTATGTGGTCGATTGGAGAGCTCAAAGAGCAAGGAAGATGAATAAAATTAACTATTAAACGAAGAAGGATGCACACTTGGCAAATGATCGTCAGTGATCGCAATGGGACCGACCATGGGCCATGGCTCCAGGTTCTAATTTCGGGCAGTTCAGGAGACGTGTAGTCAGCGAAGAAGAAAGCAAGCTCAATTTTCGTCAGCCTGTGTGGTGGTACAGAAGCTCAGGTTAACATCTTCAGAAAGCAGTATATCATTAATGACCGCAACCTTGTATTAATAGAGCTGTAAATCCTATTTTGCTTAGGAATTGGTCTCATTTCTGTTCTGCATGAACACGAACAACTGACAGTCGTTACTGCTGTACACTTAAAACACTCCCGAAGAGACGTCAGAATCAAGTACCGTTCTGATACGGAGCTGCGCTGGTCGTAGTGGATGGATCCTCCATATTTGTCAGTTTCTCGTCGAGGAAGTCAATGTTATCGACGTGATACATAGATTAGATCTGAAAAGATTGGAATCCCGACCATGATCACGGGAACCAAGGTGAAAAGATGGAGAAACAAGTGTCCAACACGGTTACTACACCCGATCACAAAAGCGAAAGATCCCTACACTAGATCCATCAACTTTGCAACATGTGCACGTCTCTGCAGCAATGCCTAAACCTGCAGTGGGCTGAGAGCTGTAGATGTCATCTGCGTCCGGAATGATCAGGTGTTAGGAAGGTACAGAAGGGTATGCCGTTTCATCGTAGACCCAAACCACGGCCCGATCCAGGAGCTATACAGGAGTCACCAGCTGAGAAACCCCTGAAAGTTAATGATCATGCAGAAGGAACTTGTACTTCCCAGCGATCCCCACCCGAGTGGAAGAAAGGCAGCACGGAGGTGTAAGCGCAATAGTGATGTCATCGGACCCAGCTTTGTTCACAGGAAGAAATAGATTGAAATCGAGGGCCTATGATAACTGGATCGGAAGGTACTTACCTTCTGTGGTAGTGTTAGAGAAGCGTAAAAGCGACGAGTGGATTTCATGGTAAACCTGTACGTGATACATGTACAAATCTAGGAGAAAACTTTAGCAAGCTAGAAAGGAGAAGGCCCCAAGCGCGTAGATTATGTGTAAAATGATGTAACATTTCTTTGCATCGAGAAACGACCAGTTTTTGTCCACGCTGATCCACTTTATTGCTGTACACGTCGAAAGTTCTCAGCTTGGAAAGAAGAGGTTCTAAGTGACTGCGCACTCGGCGCGTGGTCGTGACGAGCCTGTCAGTTCTCTGAAGATGACAAGCAGACTTCAGTCTCTTCTAGAACTCCTTATGATATGATCCTTCCTCTTTCACGAATTACCTCAGGCTTCAAGCTCCAATTGTACAAATTCTGACCTACAAATTCTTGTCTGTCAGCAGGATCTGCTCAGTCAGTACGATGTGGTCGAGAACTCACGAGGAACTTACTTTGAGAGTTGTCAGCCTGCTCAAAGCACACTGGGTTGGGCTAGCACACGATATTACAGCTACAGCTACAGGATGTAGAGTAGAACAACTCACAGAATCTCGAAACGGATGAGAGTGACTGACGTGATCACTCACAGAGCCTGGTCATAGGCCCAGGACGTATTAATTGCCGCGAGTGAGAGATAAACTTATAAGTTTCCAACGACTCTCTTGAGTCCCAAGATACTGAAACCGAACCTGATTGTCATTATCAGTTATGGCAAAAGGATGTTATCTCTAGGCAGATACATGAAATGCTCAAGGATTTACGTACCTGGATGAGCCAAAGCTTTGAGTTGCGTGATTGGGGCATGCAGGTCCGCGCAATTTGCATTCACCAAATTATACATCCTCGAGCATCACTCGCAGCATACAGTATGCCCTCGCATAAGTTTCAGCACTCTCCTCCCCAGCCCGGATCGATAAAACATCTGATCTGATTTCAGTCAAAACTTCCACCGAATGCGAGCAATTTTCAGACCGTCCATGTAGAAAGCCTGTACTGGAGGTCCATGTAGAAAGCCTTTACTGGAGGTTGCTGGAGTCCAGGCTGCACAGGAAATATATTTACTGCACATGAATATATAGACAGGATGAGGTTGCGACGGTTGAAACATATTATTGACATTGGGCATGAAAACAGACATGGACGAGTTTGCTACGATTCGGACTCGTGAACCTGATCAACACGTAGATCCATACCTCCTATAATCCACGTCACTGCCGAGAGTTGGGGATAACACGGTGTCGACACAGAGCTGACGTTCACCGTCGTGGACCTGCAAGCATCAGCGAGTCGATTGGCGTCGTTGTATCAGAACGTCACACATTGGAGCGAGTAAAGCAAAATGTGCGGGACTAGATTAGGATCTTGGACAATATTGAAAAGACGCTCTCGACTGCATTCACCTCGTGAGTCGAGGTGGTTGCTCGAAGCGTGCATGCATCTTTCACTCACTCACTCTTTAAGACCAAGGGTCAGTATTACAGCTGAACCATACGGAGCTACATTTAACTCAGATTGGAAACTGCAAACATCAGGCGGCCGATTGGCCTCTAATGCATCCTCCACGTCCGAATATATCGTACAGTCACTGGGGACACCATTTCCTTTGCAGCAGAGTCTAAAGCAAGTTCAATGTTTTTCGATGGGCTCTGGACTGGAAGCAAGGCTTAGACACTCTAATGCAGGCATGGTATATTCCGAGATGATAGGACCCAATCGACATCAGATGTAATAAGTCTCAGCAGACGAGGAAGTCAAGGAACGTGTTAAGGAAGAAGAGTCAAGCAGTTCATCAGTTGCTTGACAGTAGGTACGAGGTCCTGATGACAGCTGTAAGCTGTCAATACTGCTGCTGTTTTAAGGGCTTGCAATTGCTGCGCAGACAGACAATGTCAAGTACACCCGGTGCGCAAGAAGAGAAGGAGAAAATCCAACCCTTCTGGAATGAATCGATACAAACGGATCGCGAGATGCAGGATTGAAGCTAAATGTGACAGTGACAGTGACTGCAAGAACATCGAAATTGGGTGCCACGCTTCGGTGCTAGTGCTGTGATGGGATTTCATCATGAGATTTTCAAAAGCATGCGCAAGTAATATTTCCTTCAAACTGAGTATGCATAAATATAAGAACTAAAAATGTGGATAAAGGCCGCTAGATCCCAGCGAGAAAGAAGAAGATAAATCAGTCATACGAACGAGGCCGGACGTAACCCACACTGCTGCGATCAGAGGACAGAGCGAGACCGCGAGAGAGGAACTTGGTTCGTCTGTTCTGGAAATATTATAGCACCGATGATCGATGCTTAAGGCTACTGGGTCCATGTTACCACTCTGGAGAACTCTGATGATCAGAGATCTGCCGCGCTGATTCCATGGGAGAGGGAAGGAGACAGCGTTGTTCAGATTCAAATCCTCGGATTCTTTGCTGGATTCTCGTCGTGTACAGCGCAGCTGATCATGTCCAAGCCGAGTAACGCACGCACGCTCACGGATGTTCAAATCTGTATGTAGTCTGCATGGGGCGTTCAGCTGAACGAGAAATGACTCTGGCAATCGCTTCAAATGCCACAGTGTTCAGACGTACCTCACGAGCTGATGATCACATGTGAGCTTAATTTTCTCGCAAGACATAACCTCCTCCACACTTACATATGCAGTGGGAAAGGAAAACTGGCAAGACAAGTAGTCAGTCACAAGGACAGCTGTAGAAACTTACAGGCGGCTGTAAACAAAGGTTGAAGCCGGATGAACAAGCAGACAAGTTTTGGTCAAGATAGTCTTCGCTATTGCAATGATTGCTCCGAGCGTGGCTAGCTGCAGATATGCCGCAACAAGAGAGGGGCGATTATTTATAGAGGGGATGTCGGAGCTGCAGGCCAGTACCGACCTTAGCCCTGCCGAATAGGAGCTGTCTCAGATGGACCTCCGCCATCCTCGCTAATGGAGGATCATTACATCAACGCACTCACATTGAAAATTCCACCGAGCCGTTTCAACAGTGATGAAAATGGAATTTTCAGGGCATATAATTTTCTGGATGTTCGTTTGTTCTGGGCAGTATATTTTAACAACCTCCGACTTTATGTAATGTTATGTTAAGTAGGCAACCTTGGGATACCATACCAGTTTCTAAACTCAGAGGACTGTCCAAGATCTGAACACTGAAATCTCAAATACGTCAAGTTCTCGGTTATATATATACACTAACTACCTCACTCATGAGCGGCGAGGGGAATGTACTCACATCGAAGTCTCACGCGATCACATGATACCGATTGCCATTTGCAAAACTATTGCGGACTGGAATTCTTCATAATTCCCGGCCCATAGCGGATATATCGGACCTTGTCTGAGATTTGGGCGTGGACATTTGATTTGCCCTATGACGCAATTCTGATACCAGCTGATGTCATGGAGATCATGTAAGATTACTCCAACCACAAATTTGACAAACATCTAACATGCACAGAGCAATCCTCGTATTTGCATGTGCTGTCTGTAGACTGTACATGCAAATGAGTGGATGAACGAGATCTAAATCCAAATCTTTATTTTGAACTGTAAGACTCATCAATCCTCCCGTCACTGCACTATAAACGTACGTAAGAAAGGGAGTAGTTACCGAGACTGCAGGACTTTTACTCGGTATATGAATCAAAGGAGGGAGAGATATACCTCTAACAGAATAGAAGAAAATTCTGAGGACTACCGTGGACTCTCGTTTAGTGAATACATAATGATCAACCTTTTTGATAATGATGAGCATTTCAATATGAACTTACCATAAGTTCCCAGCGTTTGAAGAAATGTCAAAAATAATCTCAGCAGTGCTAGAAAGTCAATCATGTGGGAAATGGGAAAAGTAGACCGGCTAACTTTACGTGCAGGCCCTACATTAGTCTGTAATTGTGCCCAGTGAGAACAAATTCAGTTGATATCTGGGAGAATCTGACCTGTTCATCGTCAACACTACCGACCACGTAGAGCCATGAATGTGTGGAACTAAAAGAGAAAAAACAGTCCTACTGTTCCGACTCCACATTAGAATCACAGTCACCACACAATTGCGACAGACAACAATCTCCGACTTCAAAACTCACCATACAGATATCATAAACTAACCATGGCATCGCAGTCTGCGCTGGGCTGCTGGTTTATGTTTATCCGGACAGTATACATTGTCCAGAGGAATTCTTCCACCTCTCAGTGATCTGTTAAGGTTTTCAATCTAGCAGAGCAGCTCAGCGGTAGATGTTGATGGTAAAAGTTCTATGTCGTGACCGAATTGGGATTATCCGGCTCTGACTTCCGACTTTCCGAGATTGATCACAAGACACGTTCATACGTAACAAACTAAGCTCAGTGTAAGTAGATTCTCAACTTCAGAGTTCTCTTCGACGTTCAGCTGCCTGTCTGGTTTCAGATCTTCATGATTAAGTTCCTCATTTACCAGTTTGTATGGAAAGTAAGAAGCAGCCCAGATAACAAAAGCCAAGATGATGCAAACCACAATGTGCAATGAGTCTCCAAATGTCTACGTACCCGGGGATTGATCGTCAACGTGCAAGTTGTCCAAAGTCAGGCTGTCAATTCTTATTATGAGTCCAACTTTCCTGACTTGAGAAAATAGTCTGAAATCAGAGTGGCAGTGCTCCAGTGCCATCGTGTGCTGAAGTGGAAAGCAGCTTCAAACTGAGCTCGATGAATCTTAAGTTGAATGCATCAACAGTTGCACCATTTCTGACAACTTCTACATGGTCTCCTGACCTCTTGCAGCTCAATTACTACCTCTGCACTAGGCAGCACTACCACTGAATTCGTCCATAGATGGATTCAAGATTATTATTTTACGCATACATCTTGTTTATGGGAATCCAGATTCACTATGTCAGGTCTGGCAGATGAATCAAAGTGATGTCTTCCTGAAGGCATGAAGGCTCACTCTCGTATATCTCATATCCAAATCCACAAGAAACTTTTCCCAATCCACATGTGCTGAGCCTCAATACGCCCTAGTTCCTATTCTCTATTGAAAATGATGCTCCAGATTTGGCTTCCATGCTAGTTCCAAAGAGCCTGGCATGGAAAGCAAATCGAAGCCATTAGATCAAAATTCTTTGAATACAGTTACGTTCCGTGGCGGCGCAGCTCATTGACGATCTGAGCAGGGAAGGACCTGCCTAAGCAACTAGAGCTGTTCAGAGATGGGTCCCACCTCAAAGTAAGCTGGGTTCAAACAGGGGAGTACTGGACAAAGATCCGGACTCAGCAGCAATCACGGTCTTCCTGTCTGTCTATTAATCGCGTCAAGCATTTCGACGGATGTGCATTTCCATAAATTAGCATTGATATTGTTTTAATCATCTCCTTGAAAGGCAGTCGGTCCTGGAGAAGGCCACGTTCTTTTTCCTGCTGCCTAGCGGTAGGGCCTCAAGCTCCTGGAACTCTTCCTTTTGGAAGTTGCACGATTTACTGTCGTGCAGACCGAGTCTGAGATCCAGGATCACAATACTAAATAACTAACTCCCAAAAAGAGTACCAAAACTCAACCACTACTCTGTCACTCGCGTTGTAATTAGACAGAATCAAGAAATAATATTTTATCGTATGAAATGAAATTCTAGTTGAATCCAATTGAGACTTGCGCATGGTAAGCAGGTGATTATGTAACCCATGATCGGCCGTAGCAGTTACTATAATTGTTTCATATACTCTGGGAAACGTCGGCCATCGCTTTACTTAGCACATGCGATTGCACATCATCATTCATCCTCGAAGCTAATCTCGAGGAAAATTTGATCAACTCTGATTCAGAAGTCCATTGTTGATGATATATGACAGATGGTGTGCTACCAATTCCTGATCATCGTCAAGCACACATTCAGATGTACATGTATGGTCTCTGACTGGTAGATTGTTGCTGTACATGCAATGCCTTAAAACGTGTCAAGGGGCCCAACTAGCTTTTGAGTGGCTACCACATGAACCGGGCCAGTCACTTTGTAAACAGCGAAGATTTGGAGAGATGTAACATTTTCAGGTCCCATCAACTGCGAGGACAAAAATAAGCCATCGCACACATGTACGTAGGGCCCCTATTTTTAATTACCCAGCAACCGAAGGACGCTTCGGTAGCTGGGTATAGAGAAAACTGAGATCTGGACACGGTGCACTCGAGACTCGCCATGCATGCATGGCCACCCACATGCTGATTAGCAACCGGACGCCCTGTTCAAAAGAGATTTGCTAATCCATAAAATATAGGAATTTATGGTAGCCGTCAAACCTTAACCACAGAAGAGATTTTGCGTCACAGGGATCGAAATCCTTCGTAAGTAAAACTGAGTCAAATTCTTCTTTCCTTTTGCAGATTTTTTTATGTTTTCTTGGATGTGACCACTGGGTTGCAGTTACAGATTCCGTAGGTATCGCTTTTTATTCTTCTGGTCATCATATGATGACGTAGAGTTGGACATGTTGAGCGTGCAGCTCATTTCAGACATGAATTCAAAAGTTTTATCTTATCTGAGAGTCATAGATTTCTCGCAGTGCATTATGTGCAGAAGATCCAGAAGACCTAGAACTGGGAAAGGAAGTTCATCATCAGATGATCCGGAAAGTAAGAAAGTTGCTCGTGTCATGGGATTAAAAAATCGTCAAAGGTTCTTTAGGATCGGACATGGAATAAGCATGCGAGCAGAGGTTGTACAAGGACTGTCAGGTGGACTGCGGTGGTTTTGTCAACCAATGGTGTGCGAAGCCCTGCTCAGGAAGCGGGAGCAACTTCAGCAGCGAGAGAGGAAGTGAACCACGTGTTGCCCGGAATCTGAATTGTACGTCGCCTGTGCGAGATCCAACAGCAGTGCCACTCAGCTGCCAACACTCTGTACAAAGCAGGCATAAGCTACGTACGAAAAGCTTCGTTTATTTTCTGAACTCCTGAGACTCGCTGGTGGCAGTTGTCTACTCATGATGATGTGCCGTGGCTACTAAGTGGCATTTCTTTTCTTGTCCTCAATTTCTGCCTTACACTACGGTTTTCAGACTACACACGTAACTCGAAGACAGCTCTCAGCACTGACAACAAAGTCACCACCGATCAAGAGACTCGGAGAGCTCATAGACCGATGGCTGATTGTTTATCGATACTGCTTTTGCTAATTGTGGCATGCACTTTTTGCCAAACCCTCAATTCGCTACCGCTGAATTCTCTTGTATTGGTTACGACAGCCAGATAAAGAAGGAGTTGTTCTACGGATAAATTTGGTGAGAATTCTGAAGTTATTACCCGTCTTTTACATTCAATGGTCGGGATATAACCTGAACTACTCATGACATTATCCACTTGTACCACCAGCAATGAGTATTACATTGTAATAAGCTCCGAAGAACTTTTCTCTACTGGTAACTCATGCTTCAAAGTGTAGTAACATACTATAAATTGGAGTTTTACTCAACTTCTATAAGTTTCAATTATCTTGTGCTGGAATCTGGTTACGGTTCCTGATTAATTTTATGAAACATGGAGAGGCAATGGTCCTTCCTTGCAGACTGCATGCAGAAGTAAACCGTATTTCTTATAATTTGGTGATACTCATGATATTTTTCCACTCGCTAGGTCCGAATAGCAGAAGCCTCGATGATTTTCAAAGATCTGCATGGCATGGAAGTTTTGATCGTGCACCGACACCTAGAGTACTTGGCTTGCATGAGGAATGTTTTATCTCCTGTTCTGTTCTTGCTGCTTCTATGATTCGCTTGGTCTTCTGACTAATCTTATCGGAGAGACCATGTTCTCACTCGACAGGTT